ATTAATTAGGAGACTCACTTCAACAGTATTATTGGTTCCACATTAGCAGTGGCTTCTGCTTTATTTGCAGTATGCAACTCATTCCACATTATCTCTAAACAAGTCAAACTTACATAACTTAACGAGTTCATGAATTATCCTTCTTATTAGTGTTTAATCTTTGAACATCCTGCTTTACTATAATTTCAAAATCTTTCATTACATTATGTTCACAAGATTAGGGATCCATGACTTATTATATCTACTATTATGTAACTAGAAGTAACTTGGGGGGAGCACAAATTATCTGAGTCCAATCGAATAATTTCTGTCGCTGCACTTAGCCTTTGGTAATGCCACATATGTTGCTTGTAAGTTTAGGAAAATTCCCCTAAAAAAACCAGCCAGTTTGTTAATGAATCGGAATAAGATATGAGGAACCGAAAAATATGTATATTATAGAGAAAAAAGGAGAGTAAGCTTATAGTTTGTACTAGCCAAAAGCGACCAAGCTGTGGAAGACGACACGGAGATGGAGTGGCACTTACTGGGGATTTATCCAACCCAGAGCAGGCCAAAACAGGCCAGAACTGCATTTTCATTTGTCAAGGTTTAAAATGTGTTATGTTTCCTGATGTTGTCTTAGTATAAACTAAATTCCCAATTAACAGCATTAGATGGCTAGGACCTCAGAGAAACTAAATTATCACAAGCACCAGTCATAATTGAGTTTAAAAGACAATATCTTTGAAAACTCAGATGAGAAAACAACCTAAACTTTCAAAAATTCTATTCTTTTTTGGCTTCCTTCAACTTTCTGGGAAACTAAGCAGGAGTTTAAACGGAAAACATAGTAAATCAAAGTAAACCCTTTAAAAAATTGGACTGAACCAAAGAACCCAAGTGAGATTAACAGAGACATGGGATTTGATCTTAGTTCTAAGACGATGATGCTAATGCTGATGCTGAAGCAAGTACTGCTGCAACCCTTTCTTTGCAATCAAACCCATGCTTTCCTTGTTACAACAAAGTCTTCCAATGGCAATTCTTGAGATGAACTAAAACTGTTTGCTTTGCGCTTTTCAGTTTATAGTTTGGAGCGAAATATCTGACTGCGAGTCGGAGATGTTGTTTGTATTGTAATTTCTAATTTGTATGGTCTTGCATTGAAACCTTCTCCCAAGCTTAATGTAGACTGCTGTTTTGTTTTGAATTTCATACCTAGAGTAGAGAGACTACGGCTTATAACAGGGAGTTAACTATGTCACCAAATTGGTGTCCCCTCCATGTACCCTAGCAATTTCCTAACAGAGATTAGGAGGTTTTGCCAGCGTTTGAGAGTTGATGGTGGAGAAGATGCAAAGATTATGAGGGAGGAGAGTGGGTATGGTTGGGTTTTGCAAGGAAGGAATTGATGCTGCAATTGGAGAAGAGGAGAAGACGCTCACTGGCTCGCTCCGATATTTGGGAGGTTTTTAATTTTTTAATTTTTAAAATTGTCAAATAAAAAGTTAACAGAGTTAACTTCTTGTTATGTTAGTTGACACGTGTCTGCAAATTAGAGAGGAGACATTGAGGGGATACCAATTCCCGGTTTCGTGAGTACCGTATACATATCAATAATGCTCAACTTAAACTCATCTGTTTAATAAACGTGTCATATGGAGTTGACCCAATAATTTTTCGTATGGGTTTCAAGTCATGTATCAAATTGACCCGCTAAGTGGTAACAACTAGTAACTATAAAGGTAAAAATTCAAAGAAATTTTATAATTTAACCAAGTAATTGTTTTTCTATTTTTATTTTAAAAATAGTGATTATTAGGGGTAGGCGCGATCCGATTTTCACCTCAAACGGGAACTGGAACTGGTACTATTTAATCGGTTCGATTCAGTCTGGTTTTAGTGATTTTTAAAAAAAAAATTGGCCTGTCTAGTTTGAACCGGTTCCAGTTCAGTTTTGGACCTTTTTTTTTTTTTTGAAACTTTTTTTTATATAAAAATTCAAACTTTTTTTTTTTTTTTTTTGGGCTTGAAAATTAACAAATGATCCAATTTCATACAAAGAGAGATGCTTTGAAGTTGGGCTTGGGGAAATATTAGTCATGAGATTAAAAATGTAGCATTAGAGTTCAATAATTTTGTAAAAAAAAAATTACACACAACTGGTCCATTCTGGTTCGGTCCAATTTGGTGTGGTGTAAAACCAAAATTGAAATCGATTGGAACCGTCCGCTCCAGTTCGGTGTCGATTTATTGACTTTTTTAGTCAATCAGTTTTTTTTTTCTGATTTTTTTCCATCCGATCCGATTCGGTATTCCGGTTTTTCAGTCCCAATGCCCACCTCTAGTGATTACATTTGGTTTGGCGGGTTAGCATGAAAATTGAAAACTATGGCAGTTAGGCTAGTCTCTCTTACTGGTGCAATGATAACCTTCATTATGAAGTTCAAACTGCCCTTTTTCCAACATTTCAAATTAAAAATTATTGATCAAATGACCTTTCCCTTGGTGAAAAACCATTATCATCATCTATTATTTGTCACCAATCAATCAATAACTAGGCCGGAGAACTTCTATGGTTAACTTATTAAGTAAAATTTTCCCATGAACCACGAGGAACCTGAAAATTGAAACCTTGGAAAATATAGTCTCTTCTCACCCAAATTGTATGGAACGAGCAAATCGAGGTATTCCTCAAGAAGAACTGGACCTCACATTAGGACTAACTCAAATTTTTGTAAGCAAAATTGTAGCAATGGTCCCTCAAATAAGACCCCCATTTTACTTTTTGTCCCTCAACTCAAAAATTTATTCCTTTCGTTCTTCAATTCCATCTCATGTTGCATCATTGGTCTTTCTGTAAATCATATTAGATTTTTTATAAAAATTAAAGGTAAATTGAGAAATTCATATCAAATTAATATTTTCTCTTCTCTCTTCCACATCTCATTTTCTCTTCCACATCCCATTTTCTCTTCTCTCTCTTCCCTTTAGGCATTCTCCTTCATCATCATCATCCACTACACAACCCTGCATTCCTCTTTTTCTCTTTAATCAATAATCCTTGATAACCCACATTTGGTATTGATTCTCAGTTTTCGAGACATTTAATCAATTAAGTAATACCATCTTAAGCAAAAACTCTTTTTAGCCTCATTCTTTTCTCAACTCGTCATTTGATATTAAAACCCTTCCTTACATGTGGCAATCACAGACTTAGCTGTTGGTCTGAAGCTCACAGTGAACAAAGAACGTCCTTCTCATGAATCTAACGGCAATCGTATATTATATGATCATAACTGCCTATATTATATTGTCATTGTGGAAGAAGAAAATAGCAACAACAAAAGAGGTCAATCCGGTACCCCGTGGGTCCACGACCTCCGGTTACCAATTCGAGAGTTCCTATAACACACTTTACTAAACATGCCCTGAAAGTTTGGTCCGAATCAAATGGTCAGATCACTCGCGATCACACGATTGGACGGTTATCGTTTATCTAAAGTTTGAATTATTGCATCGAAGTATCCGGGACTCCGATTCTCGATCTGCGAATTTCTACACGATCCTATAGGTGCCTAGATCAACATATTTTAAAATGAAGTCGATGCAACGGTCTGAACATATCGAACCCAGATAACGCTTAATATGCGATATCTGATCAACAATCAAACGGTAACCAAAACCCAACCTTGACACCCTGCCAACGCGCCGCCATCGCCGACGAGTGTGTAGAGAAATTTTCCGGCGATTAGAAACTCCAAACCGCCAACCATTATTCATACCTACAGATCAAGCACATCAAGGGGAGTAACTGTATACCTTGGCTCGAAGATCAATTCCACCTTTAAAGCCCCCGAACGAACGATTTTGTTTTTCAAAAACCTAGAAAGTTTTGGGTTGAGATTTGACAATTTGTACTTGAAATTGGGTCGGATCTTCGAGGGAAATTACAAAGGGAAGGTAGATGAGTGGTTTGGGTGTGATAGCACGGCCGGTGGTGGCCGAAAAAACCCATGAAATTTCTGGTTTCGAAACAGCCCATTTTTGGGCTCAACTTTGGCTCAATTTTTTGGTTGATTCACTTTGAATCAAGGCGGGAAATTGATATATATGGAAAAAGGAGAGAGAGAAAGAATTTGCAAGTTGTGGCGTCGAAATTGGTGGTTGGATAGAGGGGAAATCTATGTCTGAAGTTGGCTGCTCGTGGAGGCCGCGAGAGAGAAGAAGAAATCTGGGTTTTTTAAAAACTAAACTTTGAAAAATTTACGATTATGCCACTGAGCTTCCTTAGATCATAACTTCTTCGTTGTAACTTTGATTTAATACAACAACGATGATATTTTAGTAATAAGTACCACTTATACCCCAATTCCATATGGTTTAGTAAACAACTTTAGTAGGAATTCAGAATCTATCTCCTCTCAATCCATATGATAAATAAACAACTTCAATAAGAATCCGAAATCTAATTCTCCTTAATCCAACTCCTCCTCAATTCAATACCTCCTAATTCAATTACGGATTAATAAACATGCCACAAATACACAACTTTTTGATACTTGAATTGGTTAAGCGAAAATTGCATTCGAATTGGTTATGTAAGACAATTGTACTGTTAAAAGAACATTTAATTATAGAATACAAATATAATTAAATAGGGCTTCAAATGCAATCCATTTCCTCCACATTATCACTAAATTCATGATAAGATATCAATTGGACAAAATAGTGACGTGGCACTTGCTTTAAATTTCACATTATATTAGCGGGCTCTATATCTATTTTGTCGTGAAGAAAAGAAATTCAATTATTGTAGGTGAAATTTCCTTTCCATTTGGCCAGTTGTCAATCCCAATGCATCATGGTGTTAGTTTCAATCTCGCCCAATTTACAAGTGGATTAGGTAAACGTTTGATTCGAACATATGATGTCATAGATTCGAACACTAGGAGGCATTCACCCAATCTTTGATTTGTCTTGCATGTTTGGAATGGCTCCAAAATGAAAAGTGTGCAACACGACAACAATGGTTTTGCATTTACCCACCTTAACACTTGCTTCATTCACAAACCCAACTAAAATTCAACAGAAATTCGTGTACCGATTGATGAAATATTCACATAGCCCGCCAGCACCAGTAGTACAAACACCACACATACATCGGAAAATGTTGTCAAACACAAAATCGCTCAAAGATCCGGCAATCGAATCACTTACTAACTCTGATTGGAGTTGGCGCTCAGAGTCCGACCACGCCCCATTGTGAATCCCTTGGTTCCATCAGGCATTCTCGGGCCAGGTGGTGGCTTTGAAGGTTCAATTCCATGATTACCCGAACTGGTTCCGTGACCTAGGGAGGAACAAAATATCAAACGTTTAAGTTAGATTAGCCCAAGGAAAGGAACCAATTCAAAAAAGTAGCTCAGCAACATACCAAACCCATTGGTGACACGATATTTCTGCCTTCCTGATTGCCCCCGATTTCGACCTCTATGCCCAGTTTTCTCCTTGGGGACTCTCTCACCATCCTAGAATGGTAAAAGCAAAAAGAACTTTAGAACTGAAAACCACAGGTTCATAATTCAATTAAGAACTCCAGTAGTTTGAAAAAAATAAAATAAAATCAAGGACTCCAGTAGAAAGTAAATATGAACAACTCATGAGAGAATTCAACACCACTTTACCTCATCGTCAGGTGTCCGAGTATCATTATGATGCTCACTTGCATTATGATTCTCCTCACCTCCTGTTTGATCAGAAGTTCTGTTACCACTACTCTTCTCAGAGTCAAAACCCCTCCAGGCTTGTTTTCTCTGTCCATACTTCCCCTGATGCAAATAAAACAAACATTAATTCCTCTTCTTGCCCTGAACGAAACGTTAAATAAATAAATAAATAAATAACAGAACCATTTACCATTTGCTTAAGATGCTTCACCCGCATGCCATTTCTCCAGTCCTCCTCATTATTTAAAGTCGTGACCTAATGCAAATCACCAGGAAAGAAACTGTAATGTAAAGACTAAATATCCAAGCTATAAAGCCCAATGCAAATGGATGATGGTGATGGAAAGAACAAGATACTTACAGCTTTGTCAGCAGCCTCCACAGTATCATACTCCACTAGAGCATGCAACTGCAGTAAAGAATCAGGCACATTACAAAAGGATGCCAAGAAATCTCATAATGTGTTCAGAAAGAAAGACCTCAATCATAGTATAAAGACAGTGTTAGGTGTAACCATCCCATTAGACCTAAACAGTTGGGTGTAACCCTCCCACACATTCAACATAAGGCATTCACCACCCGGTCACAAACACCCAAGACATTCCTCGAGCCCTCATTTCTCCAGATTTCATAACTAGCATGCACATATGTTTTAAGAACCATACCTTATTACTGATCAGCTTCTCAGCCTTGCCGCCTTTTGTTGATGCTTCTACGGCATGGGGGTCAAGTATGCATACATCTTTTATACTGGAAATTTGAAAAGTATGCTTAATCATATATTGAAGAGAAGGGTAATCTCACAGCACGAAAAGAAAAGGGAAAAAATAAAACATACTTTCCAGCTTCACCAAATATTCTTTTAAGGTTCTCCACCGAATGATCCTCAGGTAGGTTCTCTACCAAAACAGTGCACTATAATGCCCAAAATCAGATGCTTAAAGATTTCTAAAAACAATACATCCAAATTCAATATATATATCAAACAAAATTCCACATAATACCTTTGCATCCCTGTTTTCAGGTAATGGAAGAGGATGAAGCCGTTTCAGCTTCTTCCCATTCGAACTCACAACCTACAATAAGGCAAATTAATGCTTGTATGTTAGCAGTTCATCATCCCACAGGCACTTACATTGTTACAAGAGAACAAAATAAGAAATATTACAAGGAGGGAAGACTCCCTCAATGCAGCTGCTATTAGTGAATTGTTGCGAATGAGCTTTTTCATTTTTCTAAAAGAAGCAATAACTGAAATAGGAACTGCAAGAAGATATGTCCAAAAGTTAGCGCATTGTTACACAACAAAATAAATATTACTAGATAGAGGAAAGGAGACAACCAAGTTTTGTTGTTAAAATTAAGATTTTTGACCACCACATAACAAGCAAATTAATCAATACAAAACACCAGTGCAACACACAGGTTTGCAGCTAGTTGTATTAAAAAGATTTCTCACACACAAACACACATGGAGGAATGAGACAAGGAAGTCTGAAAGAGAAGAGGGCCAGTTCTCATATTGCTGCCACTAGAGGAGCAATCACCCCCTATCTCAGAAAAGATAAATCAACAAGATTACACTAAATTGAAAAAAAAGGAATAACCAATGGAATGAATCAGTTTCTAATTCCAAAAACTGCTCTCGCAATAGAATTTGATGAATAGAGAAGGAATCAGTCAGCAGTAAGTTGCATAGTCATTCAAAACCAACCACAGATGCTCGGCACAGCTAAATCTAGCTGCACCAGGAAAACACCAAGGCAAGGCAACATGTCAGAAGTACCTGCTTTACTCATCACCTTCATCTTCTCTACTCTACTATTGCCAGATAGTATTAACATAATTGACACTGTACAATTTAAGCACCCCACAAAACTAATAAACTAGCAATAACAATTAAAACGCATAGGGAAAGATTAGTTACAAATTAAGAAGCCACTTGTGGGGCAAGGGAAAGATTGGTATAATGTAAGGGGGATATGAGATCAGACGAAAAGATATGCAAGTTTCAGTTCTGTACAAAACATCATACTCCTAAAAACTACGTTGAATAAAACAAAAAGACCAACTACTCACCAAAACCTTCTTTGTTCTTCTTAATCAAACTCAACATATGCTTGTCAGTAGGCAAATTTTCATCACTGAAATAATATTCCACCTGCAAAACCACAAAGAACATTAAATAAATAAAAAAGAATTACATGACAACTTAGATTTAATACAGCATTAATTAGTTACAATGTCAGTGACAAATAATTCATTTTTGTTCTCCCTTCACTTTTAATTCAAATATTCTCTTAGCTTTACTTACTAATCAAACTTTAATCTCCCCATTTGATTAAAGCTCGGCATGAGTCAAACTTTAGACTCAGCTCGAGAGCAACAACACTGAAACTACTCGTTATTCTCTACCCTGCGGTCCCAAGCTTCTAATCTAACCCCTCTCTTAGATTTTCATAAGTGCAACGGTTGGTTAACAATGTGAGTAAATAAAGTAGCACATTACTTTCTTTACGAGAAAATTAGCACATAAAATGGCTTCAAAAAGTGCATTCAAATTCACTTATCGCATGCATAACCATATAGGAAAGCAACTTGTCTACGAAATAACTTTTATCATTTCTTTTAACATTGTTAGACGGGTTCTCGAATTCAGATGAAAACAAATACAAATTTGGAACATAATTTCAAAAAATCCTAAAGCTCAATCATTCGGGAGGGAGCATGCGGTTCTAGGGTTCATAATCAATAAAACACAGAATACAAATTTCTTCGAACATCAGAATATCAGCTCCAAATCATATTTCCTTTTAAATGCAAACATATTTTAAGCTCCTAGGGTTCATCATCCACATGCTCAGAGATAGAGATAGAGACAGAGAGATCTTACCTGCTTAATAATTTTCTGTTTGAGATCATCGGAGAGACCGCCGGTCCCAGACGATTGATCAGGGTCATCGTCGGACGGCTGTGGTTGAATCTCGGAGGAGGCGCGATCGGGAGATTCAACGGGTGAGACATCAGAACCGGCCGTCGGAGACGGCGGGGGCGAGTCGGTGCTTCTGATGACGACGGTGGTGGTGGGGGCGGTGACGGTTACGGTGGGCCCCTCTTCGCCTTCCATTTTATGAAAGAACAAAGAGGAGGAGAGGAGAGAACCTTCAAAGGTTTCAAATGCGAAGGCAGGTCCCCGCTCTTTCTCCTCCTAATTTCTGGTTGCTTCTCCTTTCCAACCTTAAATAGAATTGCAAGACCAAGACGTCCGCCGAGGACATTGAGGTCATTTCAGGCACTTCTATATTTTCTCTTCTTCCTAATTTTCTTTAGGTAAATTACAAAAATAGTTAATGTAGTTCTGTTCATTTTCAATAAAGTTCAGATAAATTTGATTTTAACTATTTTATCCCTATAGTTGTGTAATGTTCGAAGAAAATTTTAATTCATATATGTCAATTGCGTACATGTTATTTGAATGATAAAAGTTTAGGAGGAGGGGAGGCTATCCTATTTTAGGACCAGGGCATATCAAAATCTCTTTAAGATCCTATTTTAGGACCAGGGCATATCAAAATCTCTTTAAGAACTTACAGAGGAGATCTTGGATCTTTATAAATTACCTACTAAAAAGAGTTGTCGGTAGCAAGTGTAGTCATTTTAGGATTCTCATCTTGAATGATAAAGGTGAGCTTTAGATGCATATCACCTCTCATATTCAAACGAATCCCTGTGAAATGCGATTATGAAAAGTGGTAAAAGGTTCATTAACTTTTGGGGTAAGATATTGAGGATATTAGCAAAGCTTATATTCTGATTTTTTTGTCACTTTATTGCATTCAATGAGCTCATAATGTTTTTTCTTTTGTGTGGCCTGATTTACAGATTTGATTTTGATTTTGGTCATTCGATCGTACGCATTATTATGAATACGCAAATAAATACCTCATTATTATGAATATACACGTAGGCACCTCGTGTAGGGCAAGAACTGTAACCTATTCGTGGATCTTGGCATAAATGTTGTACCGCTAAAGCTTTGCTTTTAGAAGCCTATGTATATCTTCACCATTACAAATATTGAATAAAGGAAAAGACATTCACATTCTTATAGCAAAATTATAAAAGCAAAAGACAACATAAAACTTATAGTACTTTGGGACTATTGTTTGCAACAATCCCATGCTAGACGTACTAAAACCAAAACGTTACATATAATAAGCTCTCTAGCCAAACAAACACACCCCCTAACCCTAAAGCAAAACCCAAACAAGCACCCAAAAAGCAAGCCCAAGTGTCATCCTTCCCAATCCTCCAAACCCATTTCTCCAGGACCCAGAAAACCAAACCCTGACATCATCCACCACGGGCCCACATAGCGAGCTCATGTCATCAGTCCTGGTGTTATAATACACACTGTAGAATGCAATCCTTGTCCTCTCAGCTCTGGCCGTGAAATTCACATTGGCACTTTGGAATGTGCTGTTGGAATTAGGGGTATAATGGACATTTTGGGCTTGGTCACCGGCAAAGGCCATGACAGCAAGAGGCTGCTTGCATTTGTCATTAGCATGGCCTAAAGAGAAGGTTAGGGTATATGGCTTGTTTGGGGAAGTTTCAACCATTTGGGAAATAATGCCTTCCTTCCCAGAAAGCAATTCAATGGCTCGCTTGCCTTGCGGCACAGTGAAATGGTAGGAGTCGATGTACCGAACAGCACGGTTGGACTCCACGATCCAACCCGGTAATGAGGATGTTTCTTCGTCGAGGTTGGTGGGAAGCAGTACCCCTAGTGAGATGTTTGCAAACATCCATGGACCTTCCTCAAAATCACCATTGATCACTGCGTTGTCTGCAAAAAATATGGCAAATACTCACTTTTTAGTAACATGAAATCGTGTAGCATTTTTTGTGTGTGTGTACCTTCAGCTATGCTAGAGTTTCAAAACCCAACATCGATCGATGTTACGTAGTTAGACGGTGAATTTAAACTATACATTTATATGATAATTTACTTATTACATAATGAAATTGAGAAGGCCCCATACCCTAAACTTGAAAGTCCATAAATAGGAACTATTTAGTTGGGACAATTTATAAATCCTCATTTATTTGAATGGGTGGTCAAAGGTCAAAAAGCGTCAAATAATTTTACCCACTCATAGAAAATTAGTACTTCACCTAATTAGCTCATGGGCCCATATGGTTTGAATTGAATAAGTCAAGAGTCAAGACAAGTGAGAGGAAAATAATTTTTACCTTTGGGCCTATCAGGGGTAAAGAGCTTCTTGATAGCAACATCATCAATGATGGGCCCACATGTGGGGTCATCTTCCATGCCGGGATTCCTGAAGACCAACATCGCATCATCCTCCTCAGCCGAGAAAGCCCACGCGTAAGGGTCCCACCCTTGCACGTTGTACAAGGTCTGCAGGTCTATCGTCTGCGATGCAGGTGGCACTGACACATTCAACGACTCCAGCTGTGCGCACGTGCGAGCCGCACTGAACGTGACGGAGTAGATGGAGCCTTTCTCCACCTTCACTTGCTGGCTTATTTCGGCGTCGTTACCCAGCCTCACTGCGTGTCTACCTTGCGGTACGATGAGGATCATCCCACCCTGTTTCTGCCCCGACTCCACAAGCTCAACGGTGCCGTTCGATTTCCAGCTGGGGATCCCCGTGGGCCCATCTACTATAGCCTCGTTTGAAAAGCCGCCCGATGGGGTCATTTCAAAATCACCATTTGGCACCGGCCCTGCCCCATCATAAAATTGTAAGGATTAGTGTTTATCTAATTAAATAGAGTAATAATACACTTATCATATTTTTTATTCCAGAGTGACATATTCATATCATATGACACATTAATTAAATTAATAAAATATATTTTAATTAAGAAAATTAAAAGAATAAATACTTAAATAAATCATAAAAGAAAAAAAAAGAAAAGATTAAATTATTATGACGGTCCACCTCAACTGTCATGTAATGTAATATAAGAATGTGATAAGAGTAACATTATTCAATTAAATAGTATATTTTTGTGAGTGCTACTATTATGAGCTTACCGCTAAAGTGATTAAGAGCAGCTATTTTACACTTAAAATTCGGTGTTTGAATTATTGTATTTTTTACACGAGCAAGAGGAATTTGATCTGTTCTTAAATCAGTTGAGAATTCTTTTGCCTTAAAAGGACAAGTATGCCATGGTCCTACAAAGACTAAAAATTCTTTTGCCCTGGCCTTTCTCCTATCTCAAAAGAGGGCCCATGTCATGAATTATTATTAAGATTTAGCCATGCATGGTCTATGGTCAGGAAATGGTCCTCCAGATCTCAAATCAAACGTGAAGCAACGCTACAACAAAACAGTCGGATATGTTGACATGACAGTGGGGAAAAAACTGGCCACTCAAAGACAAAATTGTGTCGGCTAGTGATATTTTCATCGTTAGAAATTAATAATATTCAAACAAGTTGAGAAAAAATTGTCATTCTCAAGGTCAAGGTGTTGTTTTCAATTCCAAAAATATTGAAAATGTTTTTGTTTTTGTTTTTGGAAACAAATCGACCATTTGCTCTTCTGTTTTTTTGTCTTCAATTTTGTGTTGCTCCAGTTTCCCAAACTCCACCAGAGAGCGAGCAAAAAGATCTACACAATCCGAGTTCCAATCTTGGATAACCTTATCCATACATGGGCCTCAAATGTTTGTAAGCCCATAATCATTTCAAATTAAGAATAATAAAATTTATATATAACAAAAAGGTAGAGAAAAGCAATAAAAATTAAAAAAAAGTGAAAAATAAAAACCTAATATGAACGCGTGGACCCTACAGCTCCGTATTTTTACGTGCACCAAACACCATGTGGCCGGCGAATGGGGGTGGTGGTGATCTAAAGGACAAAGTGTAAACTATGTCATAGGGGGTCAGTCACCTTTACGGAAAGGGGCTTTGTCCTTTTGTGTGTTAGGAGAAAAAGAGAAGGACATTTGGCGCGAAGATTTGTGTCCACTTCGGTCATTTTGACATTTTCACCCCACTATTAGGATGGACCAAAGGGTAACCTGCTTTAGGGGGCCCTTGAGCTTCACTTTCTATGCACCTATAGTTTTTTCTTCACAGTAATGTTATTTATTTATTAATTTACTAAAAGTTTTATTCTTCTTTTTGGGTTTAGAATTTACCAAAAAATTCATGGTGGCAAGTGGTGAAATTTACATCAAGACAGGGAATAAATGTTTTGATGGGAAATTTTCAAATGGACCCATGAATGTCAGAAGCAAAAAAAGGATGAAAACCAAGAGCCTTGGCAAATAGTGTGATTGAAATGCTCGGAATTACATTACCACATTTAAAATGGAAGCTTTGAATGACAGAGCTTCAAGAAGAAAATTGCAGGTAAAAAGCTTCAAGAAACTGAGAAAATGCAGAAACACAAAGCAAGAAATTGCAAATCAAATCCGAACCCATGAAAGCTAATAGCCTAATTACTAAGCAGGAACTAATCTTTCATTACCAGTTTGGGACTGGAGTATTACTAATCAGATCTCATCTCAGCAGTTGTACAGAAAAACAAACATACCAAACCAACAAAGAAAGAAGTAATCTTCTTGGCGAAAATAAAGTAATTTTGAAACGCAAACTGAAAGAGAGAGCAGCAAATGTTTTCAAACACTGCGAAAGAAAATGAGAAACACAGAAAACGTACCATCTTCTGCTGAGATTTTAGTAGCCAAGCAGCCAAGAAGAAGCATAATCGGTAAGACCCATTTGGGGAATGTGGAGCTCCGAGCCATTTTCTTAGCCAAATGCTCTCTCACTAACTCTCTCTCTCTCTCACTCTCACTCTCTCTACTGAGTTTATAGGGACAGAGGAAAGAGGGAGTGAGAGTGTCCTTTTATCCAAAAGATTCCAGTTCAATCGTCTTTATTCTTTAGCTAATACGAAGGATTTACTTTATTTAATCAAAGTTTTACTTTAATATGATTAATTTGAAAAAAAAGAGCAGAGCAGGGCTTCACTTCAACTTTCTTTATTTTTCGAATTAGAGAAGAGAAAAGAAAATAGAAAAAAAAAGTCGTCCTACCGTTCCCACCTGGATATGTTTTTAATTATTGAGGATATATTTATTATATTAATTGTAATGCCGTGTTTTGAGAATCGCGGTCTTGCGGCGGGCCCCTGCCGTTCCGCCATTTCATGGTCTTTGACAGTCTTCAAGCACTCGTGAGTTTATTTATTTCCCTTGCCCCAAAAAAAGAAGGCGGCAGAGTAGGGTGTTTTTAGTCTTCCTTCGCAAACTTAAGTTCCGAGTATTTTGAATATAAGGTAGGTTGTTATGTTTGATAAACTTGTGTTTTGGATATAATGGTAAGTTCATTTGTTTGGTAGGTTGTTATGTTTGATAAACTTGTGTTTTGGATATAATGGTAAGTTCATTTGTTTGATAGATTGTGAATTTAGGCTACATATTTATATATGATTTAACGTTTTATATTGATAATCTTTATACCTAAATTTTTCTCCCTTTGCTCCACAAGGAGAAATGAAGTGGCAAGGGCCCATTGAGCCAAGCTTTTGGGCCTAGAAGCTAAAGCCTAAAGTAAAAAAACAAAGGGCCAGACCTAGGAGGCCCTTAACCGTGAAAATTACGGACTCGGCCCAGCTCTAACCCAGGCCCAATCTACAGCAGAAAGTTAAAATTGAATAAAGGTCCACTTGGCCCTAAACTCATGGACCAAAATTTCGACCCAAGCATTAAAGGGACGACCCAATTCTAAGGCCTAACCCAAACTGTCATACATAACAAAGACTTCACCAAAGTCAAAGCTCGGCATTGGTTACTCGGCCAAGTAAAAAGCACAAGCGCCGACTGAGGCAAGGATTTCACATGCACTACCTCAAGAAGAGCACCACGTAGAATAGCAAAATGAGTTATGGGATGTTGAGCCACTTTTTGGAACTTGAGTTACTTAAGAGATTGGAACCCTTGGAAATCAGAGATAATAAATAATTAGAATAAGTACCTTGAGATAAGTGATCAAGGTATGATGTGACAATAGGAGAGCAGCACGAGTAAACCTTGAGTAATGACGGTATATCTCGACACCTTTTGAAGCCGGCAATTTTTGCCTATAAATAGTAGAACAATTTTCATTTTTTAGACACCCAATCTCTCAACAAAAACGAAGCCGAAATGTTGTTCAATGTATTCCCTAAACTAGACTTAGATAAATTTTATTACTTTCCTAGGATTCAATGTAGCATATCACCAAGAACTTTGAAGCTTGTTCAAAGCTCTTGAGTACCATCATTGTAATCGTCCATTTAATATATCCACAAACAACTTTGTTCTTCAGAGCCTTCATTTTAGTCTTTGTTTCGGTTTGATTCAAAGAGGACTTGAGAGATCATTTGATTGCTAAGCACAACCCCACCAAGCACGACAATCTCAAGCACCCAACACGACGCACCACAAGTAGCCTTGTTACCAAGGCTAAGGACCCAACGGTCAAGAAATGGTTCCTAACTCAACCCAAATCATTTGACGAAGTCAAATATAAGGCGCAGACCACCATATCACTCTCTTCGCTCTCACGGCCGTCAACGACCGTGATAGTTGGCATGCTGCACATATCGCTCGCACTAAAGGACAACTTTGTTCCCAAATCCACTCAGCCTGATAATTATTTTATTTCAAATAATCATCCTAGTTGGCCGAAAAGATTTTGAGGTCAATAGATAAATGACCTAGATCCATAGTTTAGAAATACAAACATATTTCCATTTGAATATATACCTACTTACAATATTGGATCCATGAACATTTGCTTGTAAGGGCAAAGACTAAAGCTCGTAGGCCACCTTCCTCTAGCTGCCGTTGGTTTGTCTTAACCTCTTTTAGGCATGTTGTCGAATTATTTCTATGACAACTTTGCTAAGGAGGGGTAACTTTACGAGAGTGAGTGAGGAAGAAAATTAAAAGGTTTTTTTTTATCACAAATGGTCCCTGGGGTTTGCGAAATTATCACTTTTCGTCCCTAACTCTTTTTGTGACACTAATGGTTCTTAAGGTTAGCTTTTACACATCAAAATAGTCCATGCCGTTAGCTTTCGTCAAATTTTATGTTAAATTACTAACATGACACATGTGTGGAGCCCACACATCCAATAGTATAAAGCCACGTGGCTTTTAAAAATATATATATTTTTAAAATATTTTAAAACTTAAATACATAAAAACAAAAACAAAAATACCTACACCTTCTGCATTCTCACTCTGCCAGCGCCTTTCCCCCCTCACAGACCCACCTCTCTCTCCCTCATCTTTCTCCCTTCTCTTTCTCTCTCTCCCTCTACCTCTCCCTATGTCTCTCTCTCTCTCTCTGTTTTTTTTAATTCTACAAAGCCAAAGGCTTTCACTTTTGGTTTAGCTAAGGCTGCAATGCCAAAGATTTGACTTTTGCGCAACGCTGGCAGAGGGAGGACGCAGAGGGGATGGTCATGTTGCTGTTTTTATTTTTTTGGATTTAAAGTTTTAAAAATATTAAAAATATATTTTATTTTATTTAAAGCCATGCAGCTTTATACCATTGGATGTGTGGGCTCCACACACGTGCCACGTCAACATTTGAATAGAAAATTTGCCAGAAGCTAACGGCAAAGTCCATTTTGATGTGTAGAGAATAACCTTAAGGACCATTAGTGTCCCTAAAAATGTTAAAAACGAAAGGTGATAATTTTACAAACCTCAAAGACCATTTATAATAAAAAGCCAAATTAAAATGATACGGGGGGACGACCGTACCTCTCCATGGTCCATGCTCTCATTTTTTTTCAAGTGGGGCCTAATGTTAACCAACAATTTTAAAGGAGTCATGCCGAAGATCTGGACCTAAAAAACTTAAAAAATTGAATTAAGGCCCAACATAAAGAGACCAAAGAAAAGGGATGGAGACCTAAGCTGCTACTGATTCGAAGACGAAGGAATACAAGTAACAAAAGCAGCAAAAGCAATGGCGTCGTCGTCAGCTCTTCGAGAGCTTCAGCGCGAATTGGAGGCCAAAGCTAACGATCTCAGCAAAATCCAAAAAGGCAAGCCGTAGCTGCATGTGTAGACACTTATACTTGAATATGTAAAACCCTAACATGGCATTTGCTCTTTCAGATATTTCAAAGAATCATCAAGTGAGAAAGAAGTACACTATTCAGCTGGGCGAGAACGAGCTTGTTCTCAAGGTCACCTTCTGTCTCGATTGTGCTTTCTCTATTTTCTGTTTGGTTACCGGGAATACGAAGTCAGCTCTCTTGTTATGATTTTTACATAAGCTGAGACGCTAAATTTCATTTAAATAGCTTTTTTTTCTTTTTTCAGAATACCTGAAGTGCTTTTCTGCTAAATTGACTACCTGATATCTGATATATATGCAAAATTTTCATTTAGTTGGAAGCTAGTGGGCTTTGTTGTAGTGTTCATAACCTCATGGTTATTGGTTCGGGATTTACTATTTGATCGAATGCTAATATGATTGCTTGTGTTTGTAGGAATTGGATCTCCTGAGCGAAGACGCCAATGTTTTCAAATTGATCGGTCCGGTTCTTGTGAAGCAGGATTTGGCAGAGGCTAGGGCCAATGTGCGCAAGAGAATCGAATACATCTCTGCCGAACTGTATGCTTCTGTTTCATTATATATGTACTCTGCACTTGCAATCTTTGCACCAGTCTAGTTTATCATTTCAAATTTTAACTTTATGAATTATTGTTGTTATGTTTCTCAACTTCAATAATGCGGTTCAGTATCGGAGTTATAAAAAAAATTGTACGATAGATCAAATGCACAGAAGTTATTTAACCTAGATTGTGGGAACAATTTCAGAATTTTGTGAGAAAAGTGAGAGTTTAGATCGAATGTTGAAATTGGTCAAACCAATTTGATTATTTTTTGGTAAATTTAAAATTGTAACTAATCTATGTTAAATGATAGGCCTTGATCGTTGATCATAATGCTGGAAAGTGAAAATTTTAAATGGAACGTAATGAATCTAACTAAAGCTTTTTCTTTTCTGAAACTGCATATGGTACACAGTTTCCATATCAAATATATACGATTTATGATATGTTGTATAAATGCCAGACCATCAACAAACTGCTTTGAGGGCAAATTTCTCCCCACCAGATGGGGAAGGACCAAGGGTGCAATAGCATAAAGAAAAATGAAGCTCTGCATTCTCAAGAACTAATTCTTTAGAACAAAGTTTTTGTAATTGTAGCTAATAGCTATCAATTTCATGGATGTTGAATTGCTTACTATAAAGCAAGACGTACTAGTTCTGAGTTTTCACAAAATGATGTGTAGGGGTCTCTGTTCATTGGAATGAGTTATGTTCACATTCTCTGTGAAGGATGTCCATTATTTCATAAGAGGATGTTCAATGTATTCATATGCCTATTACCTTCATATATGTGATTGTGGGCCTAAGAAATATCTAAAGAAACAGGATTGTTTGGTTATATCCCAAAAAAGTGGAGAGGAATGAATAAATTGGGTATTGAGTCCAATTATAACCAGGTTTTGGTGTGTCTTTCTCTGAAGCTGTGTATTCTGTGCATAAGCTTATCTTGAGAAACCTTTTTCGTGGGAATTGTTAGATGGATCTCATACCAGTTATATGCTTTTCTAGATCATAGATATCTCAAATTTTTTTTCCTATCTTTTTCTTGATCATCATAATCATATTCATGCGAAACTTGTCGCATATGTTTGACACTGAAACTGGTATTTATTCTGTGCAACAGGAAGCGGCTTGATACTACTCTTCAAGATTTGGACGGGAAGCAAAATAGCAAGAAAGAAACGGTTTGTATTCTTCCTTGTTTCTGTGTATCTTAAATGGTATAATGCCATAGCTGTTTTGTTCGGCCTGGA